TTAAACTGACTGTCTCTAAAATGTGCATTTTACAAGACTACACGTAATCATAAATCATATAATTTACTCAATTTTTTTTGGCTGCAAATGATTCAAAGATGACTTCTTGGATTTAATCCATTTCTTTAAGGTAAGTGGTTGCAAAAAAATTATTTGGGGTGAATTTAAACAAGCTAATTAAGTTGAACGTTACTAAATTGAATTCAACCCATATAAATTGTTAGCAACAATTTTGCAGAAATCTTTTTTTTTCTGTGTGGAATTGTAGTTTTTTCTCACCATGATTTGCTTGATAATATGAAATTAACTGTTAGTTTATTTGTTTAAAGGTTCAAAATATGCTAAAATATGGCTAAAATAAGGGTAAAATACTACAAATTCTTAAATTAAACTGGGATACAATTTAGGAGAAGAATAAAGATAAAGTCTATGGACTGATTAATGCTGTTTGCTGAGAGAGAATTGAATGCATTTAACACTTTGCATGTTTTTACTATTATTAGGTAGGTTGGGGTATAGACAATCAAATCCACATAAATGTAATTTGAAATACTACTACTGCTACTACTACTACTAATAATAATAATAATAAATTGATTAATAATAATAATAATAATAATAATAAACAATATGCAATTGCTGGGGTTGTATTTGACTAATTTGTATTTTAGAGTGTACAAAAATATATGAAACTGTCAATCAAAACAAAAACATATGACTTTGACACCGTAAATCACCAAAATTTCTTAATTAACGAATAACCAGTGCATAGTTAAATTATATAAAACAAATATATAAACCAATATTTTTACATATTGCGGGGCTGGAAAGAAGTACATCGATAGGCCCTATTTAATACCAGCTCAGCTTCCTTCCCCTTAATAATTTTCTCACACAAACAAAGTTGACCTTCTGCCTACGCGTGTTTCGCTTCTCTCCCCCGTGACAGGTCGTAACGCGCGGCGCGGAAATCCAATGTCAATACCGGTAGAATCGCTGGGGGTCCCCGCGTCCGCGTCGCCCCATAAAGACTGTCATAAATACGGTAAATACATCAGTGTATATGGTGCACGTTAAGAAATACCGCATTTTCACGGGGAGATTAACTTTATGAATGGTTTTGTGGGTCACGGGTGGTTTGGCGTGTCGTTTCATTTGAGGCGGATTGAGGATGCTTCAGTGCCCTCAGTGTACTGCTCCTTTCCTCATATATGCACCTCTGCGTTTGGCAGCAGTGGGTCGCGCCCGCCGCAATGGGGTCTCTCTCGCCTTTCTTTCAAAGGGATTTTTTTTCTTAATAGTTTTTTTTTCTTTTCTTCCTCCCATATACCCGCGTTCCTCGCGCTGCCACTTCCGCTATAAAGCCCTTGGCTGGCTGCCACGCGGCCATTAGCACTAGCAAAATAACTGTTAACAATATGGTGCCCAGACACAGCAATTCCGACTCTAAAGTTTAACCAGCCGACATGGTTTGAGTCCAGCGATGCCAGAGGTTACAGAGGATTAGTAAACAAGCGCATTTTACACACGAGTGCAGTCTCCTGTTCAATAAACAAACACGCAGATCATTTTTCTAAGATGCTTCACACCTGAGGGAGCAGGAGAACATAAATGCACAGGTCTGAGAAACATACTATGTTTCGTGCCATTATAAATGAGCCTAAATATTTGTGCAATGCAGAGTTAATTACACAGAAATGTGTTAATTGCGCGCTGCGGGAAAATAAAGCGCATGCAATGTTTCCTCTGCTTTCCATCACAGGTAGGTTATTAAGAGATGAAAAGGCCCGTTATTAGGCGCGTGTCATTTCATGAAGCAATTCCACACATGCATTAAAGATGTTTTCAGGTAAATCTGAAACGAGCGTATGATCTAATTGTTAAGCAGACTGAATGCATTTTTTTGCATTTCAATTGGAATTAAAAAAATATTCATACCTAAATTTGAGGATAAAAAAGGCAGCTAAATTGTGCAGCTATTATCAAAAACAATCAAGAAGTTAGCCTACATTATGCTGTTAAATGGTTATGGTTAAAGATATATTAAGTAGGTTTATTACATTAGCATAAATACCTGAAACATCTGAATGGGCTGCCTGGATATAGTTGCAAAATAAGTTATCGATAGAATAGAGGCAACCGAATTAAGATAATCGTTATATTTATTTCCTTCAGGCTAAGAAGTAAATAATAATAATAATAATAATAATAAAATACAAATAATGCGTTGCTATAATTTATTGCAGTTATACTATAGTCATTAATAGTATCTTAATTTGGTCTGTAACTTATACTTCAATTATACGTCTCCAATATTGAACTGCAAAATAGCAAATAAAAAGTATGCTCCAAGTTTCCAAGCAAAGTATATTTGTTTTCATCACGGCAAATAGTTTTATATAGACAATGGAATCCAATGTTGACCAGCCTTATGCATGTTTATTAAAACTAAACTTGTTAACGGGAAATAAGGTGCTGCTAACGCCATTACATTTAACACCAATACGCATATTACGTTTGATATATTAATAAGCTATGTTTCAGAAAAAAAACACGCTGTTGAATATTACATCAACTCAATCAATTTATTGCACACTAAAAAATCTTGGTTATTTTAACTAAAATATGGGTAAATTTTGTTTAACCATTGTGCTAAATTTGGGCTATAGCTTGTATCCAATAAATGATCATGCGGTTGTTTTTTTTCCATATTTAGGCCTATTTCAGGTTAAAATAAGGTTAAAATAACCTAGCATTTTTAGATACATAACAGGGCAGACAAATCGAACAAAAGAACAAAGTGTGCGGCTAACTAGCTATATAACGATCCTGTTATAATAATAATTAAAAACTGCTTATAAAAAAAAAAAAAAAAAAAAAAAGCCTCTTTTAATTTACATTATAAAATAAAAAAATTATTCAGAATATGTCTCAATAACTAAAGTTGCGTTATTATTATTATTATTATTATAAATAATAGTGATAACAATAATAAAACACTAATAATAATAATTATATTAATAATATTAATAATTATAATAGTAGTAGTAATAACAACGACAACAATAATACAATAGTAATAATAATAGTAATAACAACAACAACAATACATTGATATTATTATTATTAATGTATTATTATTGCTATTATTATTATTATCATTTATAATACTACTAATAATAATAGCAGTAGTAATAACAACGAAAACAATAATAATAATACAATAATAGTAACAATGACAAAAACAATAATAAAACATTATTATTATTATTATTATTATTGCACAAAACTGAAAAATATTTGAATATCTAAAATAAGAATTAAGGTAAACGCTGAAGTATTGGACACGTTCCCCCCACATTTTCAACAAATACAATAACGACCAATACCAAAAAAAAAAATTATTTCCCATATATTATTTTACATATACAATTTTAATTAACGTAAATTGCTAACAAACAAAAGTAAAGAAGAAGAGACTTAAGTTTAATCAGATAAAGACGATGCTGATACATTTACTGGAGTGTGGGGAATTAATAAACTGTATTTTATAATTCTACAGGCTATTATATCAACTGACCTGTTTTTGAACATCAACTGACCTGTTTTTGCACACAGATTATACAAGAATACATAAAACCGTTCTAAATTGTTACAAATTTTATACATTAATGTGGACACTTTTTGTAAAAAAAAAAAAAAATATATATATATATATATATATATATATATATATATATATATATATATATATATATATATATATATATATATATATAACAACCCTGTTATATTATAATGAATTAAAATATAAATAAATATAGCCTCATTGAAATTACCTTATAAAATAACTAAAACATCGCGTTTGTTTTTCTTTTAAATCACACACATAAAACGCTGCCATGCATGCATTTTTCTTTTTCCGTCATGCTATTCTTGTTCATATTTTACTTGGTCGGCCGAAAATAAAGTACTGTACATGCTCCAAGTGTCCTCACATGCGCGTGGGACACGAATTTTTCAAATGGCTGAGTGTGCAACAATTTACAAATCGCAAACGGCTGGTAGATTAAAACTCCGGAGCATATTTAACACCCACAATATAGGCTATTGGTTTGGAGAAATCTAAAAATCTAAAGTGGTGATAACCTTTGCGAAACATCTATGAAATATCTAGCCAAGAATAGGCCAAAAACACATTGGCATGGAAAAATAAATTATTATTTAAAATTAAGTTCTTTAAAATAATCTAAAATTATTTTCCCATTGATCTTACAAGTAGATTACTTAATAGAAAGAACCAAAAAATCACCAACAATTATACAATGTCTTTATTTGTTAATTGTGTTTATTAAAAAAATGCCTTTACCTAAAGCTGAAAGCATTTATGCCCTATACAATTACGGCTTATTTTTGTGTAGCGGCTGTAGACTATTGCAGTAAATGCAAATATTATTTTAAAATAATTTATATCATATTTTGTTGTTTCAACTATTGTATAATAGTGTTATATATGTTAAATATAATTACCAGTAATAGTATTTGTTTTGAGGATTTATTATACCAGGAAATTGTGTCTCGTAGTAAAAATTAGTGCTTCTTGGGGACTTGTAATGAGAAATTGTAGACTGCGTGTCCCACGTCAGGTTAGTTTGACAAGTCTCATTACTGGGCCTCACGCAGATACAGGCGTAGATTTGGTAATAATTCTGCAGGATTGGCTCTCGGGGCTGGTGGGGAGGTAATGCGGAAGCATGTGGAGCATGTGCAGCCACAGTGTGAAAATGATCGCAATGCCGCTACCATGACTAGAGCTCAGTGCGCGAGAGATGATTCATTCAGCCGGCCCGCTTTACCACATATGGGCGGAACGTTCAGCACGAGGGGCCCAAAAACTGCGCGCTTATTGGCACAAAGCGCCGGTGATTGACGTGAGGCAGTCCCGCCCCTCTCCTGCCCTGGTTATTGGCACTTTAACGAATCCCGGCCACTGCCTCGGTGTCTGTGCGCGTTGACAGACCGATGAGACTGTTTTAAACAGACTGTCGCTTCGTTTTCAGCGTCTTTATACATCGCCTGTGGTAATTAGCTACTGAAGCGGACTATTCTGTCTCAAGGAATGCTAGATTAAGTGCTGTTGCAAATGCACTTCTGGTGAACTTCTCTTTCTCGGCCAATCTGTCTTCTCGGTCGGTAACCATGGCTGAAAAACGACGGTCCCCGTGTACTATGAGCCTCAAAGCGCACGCATTCTCGGTAGAAGCGCTTATTGGCACGGAAAAAAAGAGAAAATTGGAGGAGGAGGACAGCGAAAACTGCTTTGAGGAGATAAACGAAGTGCCAAGAATGACAGAAAGTCCGCAACCCAGCACTGGGAGAACTTGTCCCAGCACCAGGAGTTGCGAGATAGATTGCACCAGCGACGAATCCCGTAAGTACACTGAAAAAAGTGTTGCATGCAGAACTGTTGCAAACAATTTGTTTGTGTTGAATTTAAACAAACAAATTAAGTTTAGTAATGTTCAACTTAATTTGTTTGTTTAAATTCAGCCCAAATAAATTGTTTACAACCTCTTAACGTAAAGAAATTGAGTAAATCCAAGGATTCATCTTTGAATTATTTTTTTCAGTGTAGCCTAGTTCTGTTTTGACTTCTTCTGAAATGTCGACAATAAGTTACGCATAACGTAAACGCTAAATTAACCACTTATATTTTAAAACATATATTTTGCTTGAGGTATAATGCTGTATTAAGAAACCAAACACTATGTTTTCCCTATATAGTTTTGATAGTAATATTAATAATAGGCTGCTAAATCAATTCTAAACAACACTTACCCAAGACGGTCACAAAAATCCTGTAATATGATTTAGGCAAAATACCTTGGTAATTTAAATTTTCTTAGGTAAAGTCAGGGTAACAGAGGCGAAAAACACAGTGTACAAACACAAAATAACATAGTTATGAGTCTCATAAATATGGGCATTAAGAGAGTGACTAATCTATTCTGTGTTTATGAGTTTGGCCACAATCATAAACACACATATTAACTTACCATCACTAAAGCCTAAATAGGCCTACTCGCAAAACAGAAAGAAAACAAAATATGGTAACTGGAATAAAAGACAGGTCTAAAAATCTTTTCATTTCACAAACCCTTTTCTTAAATGTAAAGGATGTATAGCTACGTGTTATTTTTTCCATCACATGTATATTTAAAAAGTTCTAAGAAATTCTTCAGTTTATACGCAAAATAATAATAATACTAATATTTATAGGCATCATTGAATTTTTATATTTAACAGCATTCAACAAAAATATTGACTTAACAAAATGCACTGGCCCAAGACAATAATTTATTTTATTACTGCTTGCAAGTTCAACTTCTAAAACAACTTCAATGAAAAGCTTTCTGCAAACTGTTACAATATGCAATATAAGTCGAGCTCTTTCTGTGTTTGTCAGCGGAGCCTGAGGACGTGTTGTTGGACAGCCCACAACCTGCATCCCAGGGTGCGCAAGTCCTCGTGCAATCAGCCACGAGCTCCGGGGAGGAGATGCGCGTGGACCTGCAGGGCTCAGACTTGTGGAAGCGATTTCACGAGATTGGAACTGAAATGATCATCACCAAAGCCGGCAGGTGCATCACACAAAACACTCTTGCAATGTTAAACCATTTAATGGTAATAGAAAAAACATCGCAACATGCATTTATTTAAAATCGGCGGCGATGTAAATATATATTTTTATTCTCATAAAAAAGTATAATACGCTGCAAAGGTCGTTCAAATTTTTGGAATTTATTGAAACGGCAAAAATATTCAGAATAGTCTCTTCTAAAAAGATGTGGTTATTTCCAGATTCATGCATTTAAATTAAACACATCAAACCAGGAACGGTGCCTAAATGTCATTAAAAAAGGAGAAAATTTATGAAGTACATTTAGTGATATATTTTTTTAACATAGGTCTCATAATTTTACATTAGACCCAATTTTGTGCATTACAGAGCTTTTTGTTTGTTTTAGTTTAGCTTTCTTATGACTGACTTTGATTCATTTGGAGACATGCTGTGTGTTTTATATGATTAGACAAAAATGCCAATTAAAAACTGCGCTCATGGGGAACTTAAGTATGATGAAAATATTAATATTACATTTGTATTATATCCCAGGCGAATGTTTCCCGCGATGAGGGTTAAGATTGCGGGACTGGACCCTCATCAGCAGTATTATATCGCTATGGATATTGTTCCTGTCGACAACAAACGCTACAGGTAAGCAATTTACGAAACATTTCTCCGCAACTGTTCGCGACAGGACAGCCGGTTGCAGAATAATAACGCATCTACTATTTTCACAAATGATCGAAACAGTCTAAAATGTGCAAACATAATACTGAACAGTTTGAACTGACCGTCTCCACAAATGGCACTTCTGGACTTTGTTGACATGTTCAGTTCGGCCTTTTGCGATGCCCTTTTGGGAGCTTGACCTCCTGGACACGAAGGTCATGAGACAACTGCAGTCAAAACAAATTCATAACGCGTTAGTTTTGGCGGACTGTTCTGTGTATTTGAACATATTGTAAAGCTGTAAACTAATGAGAGAGACAGAGATTAGGCTACGGATTGGGAGTTATGACTCCCCAAGCAGCCTGGAAAACAGGGGAGGGGAATATTAGGCCTATGTGTATTAGCTAAGCTACACATAGGCTAATAATATAACAAAAATATTAACAGTATTTATTATAAAGAGTGGATATTGAAAATATATTCTGAAAGCCCCAGTTGTCCGCTATCACAGCAATCGCGTGCAAGCATAATACGTTACCAATGCTCAGTCCATAATCGGTAAATTTACAAAAAATAAAAATAATAATAATACGTAGCCTGTTTTTAATGTATTAATTTATACATTGTATTTTATATTTACTTTATCATTTGCGCATTGCAAAAAAGCTTATAGTAGGCTATCACAGATATCTTCAGTGTTTTGAAAAGTCCAGTTTGCAAATTATGCCAGTCACCACAAGACATTTAACGACAAAATACACTGTGTAGAGAAAATTAGGCTACTGATAATAACTTCTTTATGAAAAGTAGAGCAGTCTAAAGCTAACCGACTCCTTTTTTTCTTCCATTCAAAAGGTACGTGTACCACAGCTCAAAGTGGATGGTGGCGGGTAACGCCGACTCTCCTGTCCCTCCGCGGGTTTACATTCATCCAGACTCGCCTGCTTCCGGTGAAACGTGGATGCGCCAAGTTATAAGTTTCGACAAGCTCAAACTAACCAATAATGAGCTGGACGACCAAGGCCATGTGAGAATGCCTCTTATTATTTACCAGGGAATTAAAAAAAAGAAACCACATAATCATTTCCTATGTCTCAGGCCTATATCTTGATCACTTACAGTAAAGCAGACACTTAGGTTTTCCTTTTGTGATCTATTTATATTAATTAAATGTTATAATTGGATGACTGTTTTCATGCACCACATACACACATGTTAGTCATTGTCACCCGGTGTGCATTTTGTTTTGCTGTATTATTTTAAAGGCCTAAACATGTTGTAATGTGGAGGGTTGTAAACAAACTCAATTGAAAGCATCCCCAGGGCGAGGCAGTTAAAGGCCTGTTTGGCCTTTGAAAATAGAGGCATGTGTGTTTTTATTGAGGTAGAAAACTGCTTTGGTAATTCCTCCGTTTCCCACTCTAAACACGGATGCGCAATGTAATGTTTTCCAGATCATTCTGCACTCCATGCACAAGTACCAGCCCCGTGTCCACGTCATCCGTAAGGAGTGCGGAGAAGAGCTCTCGCCTGTTAAGGCGGTTCCTACCGGGGATGGTGTCAAAGCATTTTCCTTCACTGAAACTGTCTTCACGACGGTGACTGCATACCAAAACCAACAGGTTATTGCAAACACATCCTGCCATAACCCTTCTATTTACAATTTCACAGCACTGAACCACACAAAAGCTGCAACTAGAGTTCATATTGTTTCTTGAAATGAAATCAGAAGTAAATTTGCTGGACTCGGTGACTTTTCTTTTTATTGGATTGCATTATTCCAATGCATTATTATAAAACAAACAAGTAGTAAGGTCTGGCACAACAAAAAGTGTTCATTTATTTTTCTACGTCTAAGCAAGAGAAAATAAACATTAATGTCAGGTTTATCGCTGCATAAAAAAGAAAAAAGTACAAAAGAAGCAAGTATTACACATTAAATAATCATTATTTGGTTACAATATTACAATTTTTAAGTCACATTGTGTTTGGTTTAGGCTTCATCCTAATTAACTAACCTTCATTAAAGAAGATGTTTCCTCATTGTGCAGCTCTCAAAAAATGTGTAAAGGCAAGCTATTTTATTGTGACAATACTAGTGATTTCTAAAATAAACCCAGGTTACTATGATAAATGACTTCCATTCACAAGATATATTATAAAAATAATTATACAAATGGGCTAAAGCAGTTGGGATTTAGAGGGCTCTTTGCGTTCATAGATCAAAGCCTCTGAGAGACTGAAAGAGTACGCAGCACCCCATAAAGAGCAATTTATTTATAAGGCGCACTGTTACAGTACATATGTGCTTATTTAGGCATGTGTATTGACTTTGTACTGCCAGCAGTTCAGAAGCAACGTATTGATGAATTGCAACACAGAAAAAAATATATGTGCAATAGAATATTAAGTTTGTTTTCATTTGCTAAAACCAGAGCCTGTTTTAGATAAGCTAGAGCTTCAAATCTTATCATCTTTTCACGTTCACTGCCAAGTTTTAGAAATGATGTCATTCATTTGTCTGAGCTTATAAAAACACAACACACATGCGTTCTCTCACACACATATACGGAAGCAAAAAAAAAAAGCTTATAAAATAAACCCACACACATTGCATTGTGGGATGTGGGTCACTGGTGCTGGGTCAGGGAATTTGACATTACAGGATTTGGGTCAGTAAGGAGAATGTGTTTTGTGTGTGGATCTTTTACAGATAACAAGGCTGAAGATCGACAGGAATCCATTTGCAAAGGGATTTAGAGACTCGGGACGAAACAGGTAAATGTAGAAAATTATACAAGCTAAAGTAATGGCTGGAAAAAATGGCTTCCAGTCTTTTTGATTACATTTTTAGTGGTTTTAACCCTTTAACTCTTTAGCCTCACCAACAAAAACATTTTTTGATTGAATTTCTTAACTTCTAATGTCGCTAGTTAACACACTTAATGCATTTTTTTCAACACATGCCATAATTTCTAAAATATCAACCATTTGGTAGAGGTTGATATGTCGGTTTATGGTAAAAGTATTGGAATAAATAGATTTACTACGAAAAAAAATCAGAAAATTAGTAGTATAAGACCAATTTATGTAAAAAAAAATAATCAAAATAAAACAGTTTTAAATACTAAATCTTTTTTATTTTTATTTTTTGAAGTATCCCAAAAAATATATTTTCAGATTCTCATTTAACATGTTTTCTAATTTGTTTTATTTTAACAATAAAACCAAAATCAAGTGTAGTAGTGCAACAGGATTATGTTTGTTTGCTTTTCTTGGAAACCAACAATGCTGTATGTGTAAACCATTATTTAAAACAGTCATTCTTTAAATGACTTTAACAGTCATTATTTAAAACCGTCAAAACATGATCAACCATTTGAAAGAGCTGGCAGTTTAATAAACTAAATTTTAGCTATAGTATTTTTTAAAAGTTTTGTGCTAAAGTTTTGTATATAATGCAGTACAGAAATAAAAATGCAAAAATCTGCAGCTTTCTTTGCGATGACGACATGTTTTTTTTTTTTACTTTTCTTTATGACGTTAGTATCAAAATATTTCAAAACTATCAAATGACATAAAAGGATTATCAGATAATTTTTTATACAAAGGGAAAAGTCTTTCTTTAGCCAAACTCAAAGTGCCAGCAAGAATCTAATGAGGCCCAAAGAAAAAGAAAAAAAACATAAAAAACAGTGTCACATTAAAACCCATTATTCCACAAAAAAACAGGCGAATGTTGAAGCTAATTAATAGCTGAAAAAAAGTCTTCCAGTGTTTAAATGACATTTTTAGTGGTTTTAATAAACTACATTTTAGATAAAGTTTTAGTTTTGTGTATAGTGCAGAACAAAAATTAAAAAAAAACTGCAGCTTTCTTAGAGGTAACAATTTTATAAATTTTTTTGTTTTTGTTAAACTTTTTTTTTCTGACGTGAGTATCAAGTTATTTCAAAACTATCAAATGACATTAAAGGGTTGTCAAATAATTGTTTATACAAAAGGAAAAGTCTTTCTTTAGCTAAACTAAAAGTGCCAGCAAGAATCCAAGAAGCCCCAGAGAAAATAAACAAAAACAGCATCACATTAAAACCCATTATTCTACACACAAACAGGTAAATGTTGAAGCTAAGTATGGCTGAAAAAAATGTCTTCCATTGATTTTGATAAAAAAATTTTGTGGTTTTGATAAATACAATTTGAGTTAAATTATTAGTTTCTGTGTATAGTACAGTACAGAAATAGAAATAAAAAAATCTGCAGCTTACTTTGAGGCTTCAACAATTGTTTTTTGTTTGACTTCTCTTTCTCACGTCAGTATCAAAATATTTCAGAACTATCAAATCACATTAAAGATCAGATAATTTTTTTTACAAAGGGAAAATTCTTTCTTTAGCCAAACTCAAAGTGCCAGCAAGAATCTAACGAGAACCAGAGAAAAAAAAGAAATAAAAAAACAGTGTCACATTAAAACCCAATATTCCACACACAAAAAATAAATGTATAAATGAAACAACACAACAATAAAATCTCCAATCTTTGCATCGTCTTCAAACAGGAAATGGAGGCTGTGAAGAAAAAATAGCTTGCGCGACACTGACTAAAAAGCACAGTGGGGAAGTTTTACTCTGCTCATTAGTTTTAAACGAGAGCGATTTTAACACCCTGCTGAATCACACCAGACCACATACATCCACTTTTCCTCCATCCCTCAGCGAGGTCTCGCAGAGCACTCAGACCGAGCCCCATGGCTCAGTGTTACAGGAAAAGTTAAGCAGTTTGCTAAACAAACTCGGCCACTTGATAGCTCAAGTGGTGTGGCTGATAAAACTGGGGCCGAAACAAGTTGAGGCATCTTGTGTGAATTATCGCCTGAGTGGGACTGTGGAGGGGGTGGGGAAACGTCCACGCTAACAAGGCGCACCGAGCACCACCATTACTTCCAGAAAGTACCCCCCTCTCTTTCTCTCTCTCCCTCTCTCTCCTCGTAAAGCTTTAACTGTGGCTTCCTGCACTCTATGTCTGATCCCACCGATAAAGCTATGTGAAAATAATTATAGCCCTGCCATCGCACACACACTTTATGTTCTTCATTACCTGCTTTGCTTTACTACCTAAATACATACTGATAAGGCCTAGGACTAAGATGGCTGGAAGGAGTGAAAACATTTTCGCAAAGGTTAGGCAGCTGTTTTTCTGTAAGTGGAGCTACAACAGTAATTCAGTCGTGCCTTTAAAGGTGTACTGAGTGTTTCTGTATATATTTAAGTATTTGAGTAGTGCATGTTTAATTATCAGAATGCTTGTGTGTTTTAGAATGGGATTAGAGGCACTGGTTGAGTCGTATGCGTTCTGGCGGCCCTCGCTGAGAACTTTGACATTTGAGGACATCCCTGGGATTACTAAACAAGGTAATGTGTTTGTGTGTGTGTGTGTGTGTGTGTGTGTTTGTGTGTGTGTCTTTCCTTGTCTGATATTATTGCATAATCGGATATGTGTGAGAATAGTAAACAACTTCATCATTTAAAAATTAATTTCTGCTGTTTGTTCAAACTACTTATTTAAAATGAGTTGAAAAAAAACACAATTCTTATTTTTTGGGGGGGGGACAACTTAATTGTTTTATGTTCAGTCCACTTGAATTTGTAAGTATTTTTTTACACTAATAAATTATTTATATAATAATAATAAAGAGTTTTGGAAGTAAATCCTGGATGTAAATCAGCATCATTGATTTACATCACTAATGATGCTCTATTAAAAAAAAAATAATAATGTTAATCAATGATGGCAAAATAATGATTTTCAGTGTTCAAAGCTGACTTTCATTCAAAGAGATGGAGGAGTACATCGTAGAATTTATATCTGAACATTTGGAAGTAGAATTTAGGAATTAAACAAAAACAATCTTGACTCGTACATGTTAAATTTCTCAACTAAATTGTCTCTTTTAAATGTATAATATATAATGTAGGATGTTATGAGTGTGCACTCAAAGAAAACTCCTTGGCTGTGTAGAGACAAATAACTCATTGGATAAACTCAATTTAATTGAGGGCAGGATTTACATCCAATAAATTTGTTTAGCACCAAAAAAAAAAGAAACTTCACAAAGTTAAATGCAATGGAGGTCCAATATGATTTTATCAAATAAAAGTTTAAATACATTTGCATTTTATTCAACTTTAACTGATCTGATAAGGTCTGTTAAAATATTAAGAGTCTAATAAAATCATATGTGTCTGTTATATGTCGTACATTTCAAAGTATTTTAGTTTTATTTGAAGTTATCCTAAACAAAAAGACATTTTTTGGCACATTTCATGAGTTACATATACAGTTGATTGCGACTGATCTCAGAACCAATTTTAGGACAGTTATCGCTCACTGAGAAAAGCAACAAACTGCATTTTTGCTAATTAAGCAGGGGTGCTTCTGCAATGGTAATCTCAAAGCATTACATGAAACTCTTCTAAATCTTCAAACTAAAGTGAAAATTAAACTCTAACAAGTCTTTCTATTAACTTTAAACACCTAAGATTATTTTTACTGCCAAGATTTCCCTCTCTTAACTCAATCCCATGCAAAGTATGCTGGGAACTACAAATCTCCTAACCAGGTAGTTGGACCAACACAATTGCTTCATGTTGTCCCAACACAAAACGCCTAAATTAACTTAAAGGTTTACCAATTTAAGTGGAATGAACATAAAACAAATAAGCTGGCTAAAGAAATGACAAGAATTGTGTTGTTTCAGCTCATTTTGAACAGGTAGTCTGATCAAGCAGCAGTAATCCTTTTTTGAGTCTGAACTATATTTATCCATTCATCTTGTTTACTGTAAAGGATTCAATTATTTAGTTCTGAATTGTACACGGAAATTAAGTCATAAAATGAAAGCTTTTGCACTATTTATTCACCCTCAAATGATTCCAAATCTCTATGCATATCTTTATTCTGTTGGACACTAAAGAAGCTATTTTGAAGAAAGCTGGAAACCAGTAACCATAGACTCCCATAGTAGGAAATAAAATACTTTGGAAGTCAATGGTTCCAGCTTTCTTCAAAATATCTGCTTTAGTGTAGAAGAAAAAAAAATAAGACAAGTTTGGTACAAGGGTGAGTACAAGATGACAGAAGTTTCAGTTTTGGGTGAATTATCCCTTTAAGAATGAATTAGACATCTTGTTTTCTTTAAATCTCTGTATTGTGCCATATCACATTCTGATATTTGAGAACATGTTATTGAAACGTATGCTCTTTAACAGGTGCAGCCGGCTCTCACGGTGTTGTTGGGTCTTCAGCACATCTACTATCCTCATCCTCATGCCCATCCCCTACATTCCACCTTGGTTCTGGGGCAGGACCCGTGTGCGATTACTCCACCTGCAGCCGAACGAGCCACCCCCTCCACCGCTACGGCCCTTCGCTCTCCGCAGACTCCTACAGCCGACTGACCAGCCCCACAGCCGATGCCTTCTCCACTTCTCGCAGCTCCACGTATGTGAGCGGGACAGAGAGCGAAGCCTTCTCCTGCACACAGACTGGCCTGCCAATCCAGATCCACAGCATGCCAAGCACAACCTCCCAGCTGCAATACCTAATGCCCGGCCACGCCCATAATGCATTTTCCACCAATCAGAGCACACAGGGATCATACAATGGCTTTCGGCTACACAATCCGTATGGTCTATACGGTTACAACTTCTCCACTTCTCCACGTCTCGCAACCAGCCCTGAAAAGGCGGCCGCCACGCAGACTTCATTCCTTGGCTCTTCCCCTAGTGGGACACTGACAGACAGGCAGGTTTTATCCACTATGGATGGTCTCCACATGCTCAGTAGTAGTCAACAAAATCTGTTCGACTCGCGGACTTTGGGGCTCACGAGTTCCTCTTCCCAGGTGACAGCCCACATGGCTTGACTCCCCCTCAAAAAAACTTTGATGGACTTCAAACTCAGCTTTTCTTTGAGTATAAACTTGTTTTTGGGACTTGCTAATAGCATAATTTATAATCCGATGGAGATAAAACCGCGATAAAAAGCAAAGAAGACATACCACAGTGTAAAGAACTCTGCAATATCATTTATGTTTCTGTGTAAGTGACAGCTGAAAATCACATTGATGTTTTTTAATAGACTGTATATCTTAAAAATCATTCTGATGAAGCAGTACTCACCATTATTGGACATCAGGGTATGGAAATGCCTGGAGAATCACATGGGAAAGCATGAAAGAACACCAGCCATCGGATCTCATCAAGGTTCAATGAGACCCCACGACTGCTGGTGGGAGTGTGAGGACTTTAACAGATGACTTTTTGTGAGGCTGGATTCAGCGTCTTATGGACAATAAAAAATAAGTTTGGCACTTAAGAGTGAGCAGACTGAATACAAAAAAAGGACAGGAAGTGATGTCATGAAGGCTGGCTGCATCTGAAATCCCAAACTGTATAGTAGGTGCAACATTTGGTTTCAAACTTACTAGAGCTGCACGCTTCTGGATAAACTGAGAATCACTATTTCTTTTTCAAGATTTGGCCATGATTCTGAATATTAATAGTAATTTACCCGAAGTTCTGATAAATTTAAAACAATAATATTGTATAATTGAAATTATTTATTGAATCATTTATGCAATAACTCAATCACAGGGACTATATAGTTTATTACTGGATGAATCAGCATTTTTGAAGAATCAGTTGAATGAATCATGCGAGGCTAAATATTATAAGAGATGCTTGTCGCTACTTATTGGTAATAATGTAATTGATTTGCTACTACCGTTTAAAGGTTATTTTGATAACTGTAAAACCCCACAGTCAACTTTATCAAATGAAATGAGTGTAGTCAATTCAAAATTGACTGAAAGTTAATTCTACTCATGTGAAAAGAGTTTTGAAGTTAATTAAATACCTCATTACTTCAGCCTAAATGGATAATGTTCACAGTACTCATATAGATTAGTTTTTTTAACTCCAATGGTTTGTAGCAATCGGTTTCCTCAAACGGTTTGAGTTGCCTTAACTTATTGAGTTTTTACAGTACTCAGTGGGTTTGAGTTCTCTTCATTTATTGGGTTCTACTGTGCTCAAATTGCTTTATTTACTCAAATTGATTAAGTCCCCAGTACTCATTAGGATTAGTTTTTGAACTTAATTGGTTTGTTGCAATTAGTTTCCTCAAATGGTTTAAGTTACCTTAACTTTTTGGGGTTTACAGTGTAGCTACTGTAGAAACCTGCATTTATGTCCATCCTATAAGCTGTTGCCCTAGCACTTTTGTTGTAATCTGAATGATTGTAACACACAAACAATAATACTGGCTGGAAACACATAAGACTTAAGCCATTTCATAACCATGACGACTGATGTCTCATATTTAAATATACTGCTGTGATCCTCAAACCTTTAATAAACAAAAATCCTGATCGGTTCAAGACAAGTGAACTGAAATTAAGATTAGTTGATTAATCGTGCAGCTCTCAAGCATACAAAAATTATGCTTTACATTTTAATTGTGTTCACTATGAACTTAATACATGTGGCTGTGATTTTGCTGTCATGCAGCTTACAGTGTTAGTCTCCTCAAGTCATCTTCCAGGAAATCATGGCAGAGCAAAGGGTTCATCTAACGTGAACTTCAGGATCTCACTTTTAGTAGAAGATAAAAAATTCTTGCCTACTTTTTCATTTATACTATCAATTCAATCATTCTTTTGTTCAAATACAGTTTTTTCACCTGCTATATAGTATGTAAGCAGACCTGAATCAGATACAGGGATTGACTTGCTGGGTGACAATCAACAGGTAACCAATTCACTGTGCCAAGTTTTTAAACCTATAGCAGATACTGTGCTTTAATCTTACTAGGAACACGGAAACATGGCCTAGTGTTTACAAATTCTCTCCAAGTCGAAGGGTTTTCATCTGGATTAGAGCTGCTTTCTGAACCTTGGAACAGACAAGGCTGAATGAAATCTGACCCGAGATGATAATTCTCACACTTTATAAATACTACCATTGGCATTCTTCTGAAGGATTATAGTGCTGTCACCAGATACATGCTGATTCCAGGTCAGCTGTCTCACTCCAAAGACTCAAATGAATGCTTTTCCTTCACAGACATGTTAGCTTTTGCTAATTTACTCAATTTGCAAATATGGAGAATATACATATTATTGATAACGTGTAAAGATTTCACTTGCACTTATGCCAATTGTAAATACTTGCTTTTTAATATTCAGCCTTTTTGTTTTTAGAAAGTTGCCACAATTGACACTTCCTCCATGACTCTTGTTGGCCTGAGAAATATTAGAAAACACTTTGAGCCAAATAAAATATATTCATATGGTAAAGCATAATTGTGGCGTGTATGCATGTGCATTTAAGCATCAGATGCTTCTCTTGGGGTCAAGAAAAGGTTCTGAATGCCTAACAAATGAAAAATACCAGCAGAGGCTCCTAGAGAGGCATACAAACACACACAAACACACACACAAACAGAATGCATTCATACACTCAAACACAATGAAATGACAACCTTAAAGTTTAAACAATAAAAATAAAAAGAGGGTGAAACAGTGTTAGGGCTTTTGTCCCTGAGAGATCATACATGTCAACAACATTCTTCTGTTTATGTGCAACGGTAAACGAGTGTGACATTACACACATCTTCTTCATGTGCTTGTAACGTGCTTAGGTTTCAGTTTAGTGTGTGTGTGTCTGAAGTGTGTAATGCAAGACCTTCTAAATGCTACTAGCACATTTAACACAATGCATATGGCATATATGAGCACAAATGATATAACTTAAAGTGAACTTAACTTTAAACTTAAAGTCAAGCTAAAAAATAATTCTGTCCCAATTTATTTACTTTTCATTCGATTCAAACATTAAGTTTTGTTGTATGTTTATATATATAATAGATGTTGTAATCTGGTAGCAATTGACTTTCAAAGTATTTATTTTCCACTATGGATGCAAGTGACTACCTGTTTCCAGAATTTTTCTATTATTTTTTGTGTTCAACAAAAGAAACTTATAAAGGTTTTGAACTTAGTGACTTATAAGGCGAACTTTTTGGAAATTGATATTTATTTCATGAATAAATAAGCTTTCCATTATTGTATGGTTTGTTTAGACAGGACAACATTTGGCCGAAATGCACTGAAAAAAAGAGATGCACTGTTGCAAACTATTTAGTTGGGCTGAATTTAAACAAATTAAATTTAGTGATGTTCAACTTAATTTGTTTCATTAAATTCAGTCCAAATAAATTGTCTACAACCACTTACTTTAAAAAAAATGAAAATCCAATGAATTATTTTTTTCAGTGTACAATTATTTACAAATTTAGAATATCAGGGTAAAAAAAAATCGGAATATTCAGACAATTGTCCTAAAATCTTCCAAGTTAAGTTCTTTGCAATGCATATAAGTTCTTTGCATACAGTAATATAAAGCATATTATTATTATTATTATTCCTTTATTTAGCCAGGAGATCACATTAAGACAGTACTGTCTCTTCTTCCAGCGAGACCTGGTCATTAATAATCTAATAATCATAATAATCTAAGATTCCATTTTATTAGCCCAACAACAAAATCCAATAAATTTTAAAGGACTAAATGTGTGTAAGTCTTTTCTAGAGCTTCTGAAAAGAATTGTGTTATTTCTAAAAATGTATTTATATTTGTTTTCAACTCTGAGTTAAATCTGACCCCAACTTTGATTATTCCAATTTTACTGTTTTTGTTTTTAGATGATCATATTAATTTGTGATATAATATATACTTTAATATTTTCTTGGGTCCGATTTTCTTAATTGTACGTTCATTAGGGACCAAACGCCGCTTAGAGTTCCTTGCCCCGGGATTGCATTTCTTCTCACAAATACCATCTCGAAGTTAGTTAGAGGATGTAGGGTTAACTAATACCCAATTAGTCCGGTTGCCTCCTGCTGACTTGTACTAAAAGAGTAGTCAATTCAGTAATTTCCAAACAACTTGCTTATAGCATTGATTAAATCATTAAAAGGTCTTCATGCTGCCGTGCCTCCTGTTCCATAGTCAAATGTGCCTTAAAAAATGTATACAATTATGTCACAACACAGGTAGACTCTACATAACATACTGGATACAACGAATTCAGGAGACTCCAAAATTAATCAAAAAAGTTAACATTTACATAAAATTACATAATCAAACAATAAAAGGCAATTCAGAAGTAAAAACACAACATCAATTACTCAAAGATAAATCTAAAAGTATACATGGAAGTCCAATATAATTGTTGAGATTGAGAGCTCTTCACTACTGGCTGGTCTGGATGCAGACTTGCGACCATGAAACATTTAGTCCTTCTCTTTTAATACCCAATGAGATCAATGAATGGCTATTTTGTTGAAGATGAACATGATCTTCACATAATATTCTATTCTAATGATATTCTAATGACTTTTGACATAAAATAAAAATATATAATTAGGATGAACTTTAGATACTGTATTCCCACTAGTGCAACATAGGTCTGATTTTGTGGCCCAGGGTCACAAGTAGTCAAACAGCACTATGAATGCGTGCATAGTTGTAAGACTGGGTCGTTGGACAGAACCAGAGAGACACCTGTTACGGCCTGAAGGTGACAGACAAACAGCATATGCAGAGAGAGAGGGTTGTAGGGTGCTTTTTTATTTTAGAACAGAGGAATGGTCAGCTTGCTGTATCTCTCTAACAGGTGACAAAACTCCTCTGTGGTTGGCAAATCTTACATACAGCCATATCCGTACACACGCACACACACACACCTCACATTACTGGCTCATTATCAGCAATCCTGAAGACATTAACACTCTGAGGCCAGTAAAGAGCAATGTATAAAATGTATACTTAAATTTGAGCACTTTAATAACACTTAATTTGACTCTGCAATGGACTGCTTAAATATTTTAATTGCTCCAGTGCTGATAATTATACATATATAAATATAAAATTTGTAGCATTTTATAAATAAATTTATGCATAAGTTTTTGTAAATGCCAATCACAAAAAATTTATACGTTTATTTGTTTATTAAAGAAAAGTTTTTATGTTTATATGCGCATTATATTTATGGAAATTAAAAACCATGTAAAATATGCTTATTATTCAAAATTAATCCATCATATATCAAAAGAGTTTTTCAAAATTGTCCTAAAAATGGGTGTTCAAATTTTGACTTCACACTAACAATGTATAATATATAAACATGCACATAGTATTCCTTCAAAACAAATAGTCTTTATCATCAATGTTTTATCAATCAATAGTAGATGCCCACTTATAATTTCACTTAGCAAAAGTCAAATAAATGACAGAAGCCTGTTTATTTTTGCC